GGAATTCTAAGTTAGATGTCTACCAATGTGGAGAAGCTGGGCGGAGCTGGGAGGGAAGGGATGTGAGAGAGAGCGATTGCCAACTGTGGACCGCTAATGGCTGATTTACACACAGAGATCTACTGAGAACAGGGACTGCAGAGAGGCCAAGAGAAAGACAGGAGATTAACACTCACAGGAATAATCTACCAGCTAGAAGGGGAAGAAACATCTCAAACAGCACTTTAAGGAGATTTTGCATGGAAAAACCTTTAAGCATGTGCCATGTACAAGTTCAAAAAGATTAAAAAAAAAAAAAAAGACAAAACAGCTAAGGCCAAATAATATAACACTGTTTCCTACTGGCATTTTTGCAAGAAGGTAGAAGAGAATTGTAAATTCTCAGACAAAATGAGACACAGAAAATAACCATGTCAGCAATGTCCAAATGAAAGTGCCAATAAGTTTCCTTTGTATCCTGGTCTAATTAAACCTTTTTCACAAATGCCAGCAATCAATAAAAATTATTTCTTATTCAACTCTGACTTCAGTTTTAATTACTAGGAGTACAACATGCTGTGATTCGGATAGCATCTGATCTATCTGAATCTATTTGCTCTCAAGTCTAAAAGAAAGAAATGATATAACACGACCTGTTCTTATTTGCCCTGCTATTATAAAGCATTGTTGCCAGACCGAGCACTTAAAGACCCTGGTAGCATGCAGGCCGTACATGCAGCACTACAAGTTTTTACAGACACAGAATCAAAGAAAGCCAGTAGACAAGGTGAGAATATAAGTTAACTTCCATTCATTTTTTTTTAACTCTTATACTCATTAGAACAAAAATAGGTGAGTTTGCAATGCTTCAAAATGCCTTAAGCAATTTAAGCAACAACAGACAAAATATCTTCATGGGTAAGTCAGTCACAAGATGCATGAGACAAAGGCAGAGAAATGCAATTCTTTGATGTTATTTGCTTACAAAGAAAATGTGAAGAATCTTCCCCTGGAATAATTCTCACAAAGCTGAGAGAAAATGTATTTATGCACTTAAAATTGTCCTTGTTTCTTCTGATACAGACTCACAGCAAAGGATAACCACAAAATAGTTAAAATAATAGGAGAGATCAGATAAACTTTTTTTTTTGCAGCAAGCACCAAATGGGTTCACATCTCACACTGTCTAAATGTATTAAAATGTGATCGCTGAGGTGCTGGGATTATGCACTTTTACTTTAAAATTTGATCCCTCTGGCACAATGCCACAGTGCAGAAAGGGCATCAATGACTATTTTCCTACAAGGGAGTCCTTATCAATGGAAATCAAGGTTATGTAAGAAACAATCTCAAAGTTGGGTATGGCGATACATGTCTGCAGTCACAGCTACTCGGGAAGCTAAGGTGAGAAGATCACTGGAGCCCAGCCTGAGCAACACAGAAAGATTCCATCTCAAAAAGAAGAAGAAAAAAACAATTCAGTGCAGCAGAAAGTATCAGGAGAAATTTCAGGACACATAAGTTCATTCACAGTACTGAAGGATAGTGTGTACAAGGGCAGAACCTGAGGTATTTCATTCAACAACTGGCATAGAAGAAATCCACTCTTCACTCCAGCAATTCACTTTTCTAACTTGCATAGTCTGTTCTCCTATCAAGCCTGAATCTTCCCTCATTGCTAGAAAGCACATAGCACCACACCACGCAGCTGCAGTGTGCAGATCGAAGCACTCTGGGAATTCTTATTTAGCAACATTCTCAATATACATCGGCTCCCACAAAAACACACAAATATTCCAATAATGCTAAAGATCTGACTGGGAAGATAAGACACGGTGTGCACCACCCTATCTTAACAGCACCAGCAGGAGGTGGACACCCAGACCTGCCAGGACACTGTGCCCACTGCCATAGGAAACAAAGTGGGCTCAAGTGGAAAGTTTTGTTCATGCTCTCCATCCCTGCAACACCCTACTTTAACTAAGAACCATACAGTTTAGTAATAAATACTATTTCTTAATGACTCAAAGTAGATATTTACCCATAAGATCACTGAATTTCAATAATTAAAAAAAGTCTCTGGGTTCTTCAAAACCAACAAAAGTTTACTTATCTTTTAAAAAGCCTTTAAAGGGGAAAATGAACTTCATTTTTTGTTTCAATTTCTAAAAATCTTATGAAAAGATAGGCAACAATAAAAACAAAGCCCAGCCCCCAGCACACCCTTCCAAAAGCACCACCCCCAAGCAGAACCACAGCAATGGATTAGAGCCAGCCTGGCCTAGGATGGAACAGAAAACCCATGCTAAAAAAAAAAAATATTCCCTTGAACCCATGAGAAATAAGTGTTGAGGTCATCTATCCCAGAGTGCTCTTATTAAGAAATTACTCAAAGTCCTCAACAAATGCATGCAAAAAGTATTTATAAGTAATGATCGAGAGAAAACAAATACTGATGGGGAACTAAATGAATTCCAATGAACCATGTGAAAATCCTATCTAGTTTTCTAATAGCTCAAGAGGCATCACTGGGAGGGTGGATAACTCAGCTAGGAGGATGGAGGGCAGGCCCAGAGGCATCACTCTCACACCATGCAGCCCTGCCACAGTGGGGCTGGTTGTATCTGCTGGAGTTTTTCTATAACTAGAATTATAAATTTGACGCTTGGGTAAGTAATCCCCTGTTGAGATTTTTCACAGTAACGTGAATTAACAAAGTAAATGACTTAGTACAGAATTATAGGCACAAGATAATCCTGACAAAACAGTTTAAGATGATACTGTTTTTGATGCCTTCAAGAATAAGTCAAAATGTTTGCTTCCTACCACCCACAAAAGCTGCATCAACTTTGGCAGAGGTGAACTAAAATTATCAAGATGGGTCCTTATAGACCCCATAGTGTTAAATAATCAAGAAATGCATCATTCAGTTCCCAACTCAAATATACTATCAATGGCATGTCCCCTGCTGGTTCTGCAAGTTCTGAATCACTACATCATTTAATGTAATCCTTAGAACAAACTGAAACAGTGAGTACTGTTTTCCTTGTTGCAACAAGAAAGCTGAATCTCAGATATGTTAAGCAACTTGCTCAACGTATCACAACTTGGAACTATTTGCCATGGAAACCAAAGCTCCTTCTGCACTGCTGTAAGGATGGAAGTATCTGGCAAGCTCACACATGGAGTTGTAAGTACTAATGGCCCCTCATTGGATGTGCTAATAGACAATAAATTCTCCTTTAATTTTAGGAAAGGCTTTATTTTTAGGAGGTTCCTGAATGATGTAAGAGATAACTGTCCATTGTCAAAGATAAGATTTTCTATGGTCATCAAACTTGTTGTGCACATAAACAACTACAAGCCACCATGCTTTTTTGTGTAATACAATGATGTCTAGATATATTAACTGTTCACATATTAAATATATGATTAAATGCCAAAAAAAGAATGGCCTTTGAAGTATCAAACAGAATGACTGCTTTTCACCTTCCAATAAAAGTTCTCATTGTTAAACCATTCATAAAACTGGAATTTTCAAAAAACATACTTCATCCTTATTTTGTTAAAAGTATAAATCCAATAAGCAGAAAATTGAGGAAAAGTGGGAGGTGGAAATCTGAACAAATAGAAATGGAAATGGAGACTTTTGCTCAGCAAAACCTGGTGGGAGAGGAAAGGGATTTCCAGGGATTTGGAAGGCCTGCTGGGATCAAATTCATCACTTGGATGATGGGCAGTTTATTATTATTGAATTTTATTTAAGCCTTAGAATTAATGAATTAGGGGAAATCTGGTGTGGAGAAATTCCTCAGGGGTCTCTCTAATGACTGAAGAATGAAGAATACTTTCATGGCCCTGAAAGTGCTCTCTCGCCTCTGTGGGTCCAGCCTTACTTTCCATCCTCATTCCATCCTTTCCCTGGCATGCTGCCCCAAGCCTGAATCTACACAGGGCACCTTCTTCTTCTTGCCCCAGCACTGGTTCCCAGCATCACCTCATGGAGGCTCCACCCATGGCACTGCACAGAACTGGAAGCCCTCACTCTCCCATGTGGCATCCGCATGTCCATCAGTCACTCAACACCAGCACTCACTTGTCTTCTCCCACTGACTCCCAAAAGTCTTAAGAAAGGTCCTGGAGTATGGTACATGGCATGCAGCTGAGTCCCACGGCATGCTGGCTGGGGAGGGAGCTGTTCAAGTTTGGGGGAAATTTTCCTCTAATGCTAGATAAAGTAGCATTATCTAACATGATCTAGCCATTCTAAATTGAATGAAAGATGAGCCTGCACTGAAAAAATATAAGTCATATAATAACTTTAGAATATTTTTCTTTTTAAAGTGCTTTCAATTCTACCAACCACATGCCTTCTCCCCATATCTCTTTTAAGTGTTGGCATGATAGCTGAGTCTCAGAGAGAAGAGGAGAGAGAGGCCAATACATACTAAGTTTGCATCTATCCCAGAACAAAGATCAACCTGTCCAAAATCCTGTATTTATGCAATAAAAAGCATATCTTAATAAACAAAATGTGGTATCATCCATGAAATGGAAAATCATTCAGTCATGAAAGAGAACTCATGCTATAATATAAAGAACTGTGAAAACGTTGCACTAAGTGAAAAAAGCTAGCTACAAAAGGCCACATAGATTAATTTACATAAAATGTAAATCCAAAATAGGTGAATCTATAGACAAAAGGCAAATTGGTTGACTGAGAAGAAAGGAGAGGTGAGGACTGCTTAGTGGGAAAAGGGTTTCCTTTCCAAGTGATGAAAACATTTTGGAAGTGGATACTGATGGTGGCTTCACAACAGTATGAATGTTCTAAATATCACTGAATTGTTCACTTTTAAATGGCTAATTTAGGTTATCATAATTTTGTGGGGGGGGTGCTGGGATTTGAACTCAGGGCCTGTACCTTGAGCCACTCCATTACCTGTTTTTTTGTGATTTTTTTTTTTTCAAGATAGGGTCTTGTGAACTATTTGCCCAGGCTGGCTTCAAACCACAATCCTCCTGATCTCTGCCTCCCAGGTAGCTAGGATTACAGGCGTGAGTTACCAGCACCTGGCTTGTTATTCTAATTTTTAAAAGGTTTTAAAGCAAATCGTCTACCTCACATATCTGTTTACAACAGAATCACAATGGTCTGGAACTCAGGCACCCAGTGTAAGGAATTATCAACCAAACACTTCTTGTCTTAGAAAGAAATACACTAGAAATTGTTTGAATTAGCTTAGTAATTCCTATTAGTCTATTATCCCTGAAATGGTTTCACAATATTTCTAAAGCATCCTCATTCCCTGTGCCAAAGGACTTCTTATAATGAGATCTTGTCTTTTTATTTGGTAAAAGTCTCCAGCGTTCTTGAGCATTCATAGGTAATTTCTCTGCTGAAAACACTACTCCAACACTGAATGTGTGTTATGGTGAGAGGTTTTCAGTACGTGAATAATTTATCTTAAAGTTCCACTTTTTCTTGTCTAGCAATAAAGGCAGAATAGCAAAAAAGCAAACAAGGAATATGACCACACACACCCCCAAAAAATCTTCTCAGGCTCATTTGTGAATATTCTCCAATTTCAGTACAAATTACAACATTTTAGATGATTTTTTGCTTGTTAAAAAGAAGGAAAGTTATATCCCAGTAAAGACACAAAAGCCTTAAGTAGTTAAAAGCTCTCCTAAATAATGAAAAAGCTAATCCTGTGGTGAAGAGGTGTGGGCTGAAGAAGAAGGGGTATGAAATATGCAAGCAGAGTGTCTAGTTATTGCTAATACAGCCGCCAGGAGAACAAATCAGATGCACTGCATCAAGTGTTCTCATCAATAGCATTTGCTTTCTCCAGAAGCATCAAGAAACTAAACCATACACCCCTACCTGGCGCACACACAAAGGCACAGGTCTAGTTCCAGGCACCCAGGATGTGAAAGAAACACACTGCCACCGAAAGTCAAACGTGCTCATGGGGTAAGAGGTGCAAGTCTCTGTTAGATGTGGAGGGCACTTGCAGTGACCTCTGGACAGTCTGCCACCCTGGAAATATGGCAGAAAGAAGCAAGCCTTATTTAATGAGGAGTCTCCCATCTGTAAGGGATTTTCCAGCCCAATCATTCAAAAAGAAGGCACAAAATGTGTTAAAGCCACTTAACCTAGCTATAACATGTAAATATGTACCAGAGTTTAGGATTACAGTTTGGATGAGATAGATTGAGATTCAGAAGTTTCTCAAGGGCCTCAAAACCCTGGGGTCCCGAGGATGCAGGCCTCACAAAGAAGGACAGATGCCAGGGGAGGTGGGAAAGGGTATCAGCAGTTCAGTGCCAGGATGACAGACACAATTCTTTGTTCTAAAAAATAAAAAAGGGGGTAGAGGGGGTGGGTAAGAGTCCCAGCCATGTTGATTGTAACAATTTCTACTGTTGCTAAAATTAAACAAACAAAGGATCTCAGATTACCTGTGACCCCCTTCTTATCCTGAAGAACACCAAAAATTAATTAAAGAGAAAGTGAAAGGGCCTAAACAGAGAGAAACAAAGTTGGGCTGGAAAATTTTTTTTACTGCAGCTAGACTATGTCAGATGAACTCTACAGTCAATGTCAATACTAAATAGGAAAAGCTTATCATGGCTGCATTTATACACAATGCACTGATTTTCATTTTCTCTCACAGTTTTGTTTTTAAAATTTGGTTAACAAATTTGATTGCATGTGATTTCCATACAGAAAAACTAACCTTTGGAATGCACACATTTTTGAGTTGTATTTTTTTTTCACCATTTAAAAATTATTTTGAAATAAACAATGGACTCTCAAGGCTCAAAAGTCAAGATGATATCAAAAAAGACTATGTGTAAAAGACAACAACTTTTATTAGTTTCTTATATATTCTTCCACTGTTTTTTTTTTTTATGTAAATACAATGGCCACTGTCTTAGTCTGTTTTCTGCTGCTGTAACTGAGTATCACAGACCGGATAATTTACAAAGAATAAAAGTTTATTTGACTCACAGTTCTGGAGGCTGGGAAATCCAAGAACATATCACCAGCTCTGATAAGAGCTTTCTTGCTGTATCTCAGCATAGTAGAAGGAATCACATGGTGAAACAGAGAAAGCATCCTAGCTGGGGATTCTCTCCCTGCTCTGAAAAAGCCACTAATGCCATCATAGGACCCCACTCTCATGACCTTATCTAATCTTGATTACCTCACAAAAGTCCCATCTCCAAGTACCACCAAAATTTAAGTGTGGGAATTAAGTTTCCAACACATTTGCACTTTTGGTGACACAGTCAAGCTATCACACTCACTCTGCACATCAGGAATTACTGATTGACCAAGTAAATTGCACCATCCTAAGAGACAGAGAAGTGCACACTGCAATCTCTACACATAGAGTATATATTAATAGATATACATACATGCCTCCCAACAGGACATAAATGCTAGGAGGGCGAGACTGGTGGGAAAAACAGGTAAAGAGCAATAGAAGGCAGGTGTGTAATTAAGACATAAGTTCTGCCTGTATCTCTCACTAGGCTGTGAACTTCATAAGCCAAATACAATACAAGCACAGTGATTGGCACCTGACAAGTAGCCGATAAATATCTGCTGAGTGAGTGTATCAACCGATACTAGTGTATCATGGGAGAGTTAGAGACTGAATGCAACCTGAGAAGGAAAGAAAGGCTTTACTGGCAGGGACAGAGGCTCAAGCATAGGTGTAAGGCCACTGGGCTACTCGGTGGAAATGTGACTGGAGGGTCTGCCTCGACCTCAGCAGGTTCCCACGGCAGAACACGTTCTCACATGACCTTTCCTATCCTGGAGCAGCATGGAAGCAGTCCTTATTGTCTCTGTGGCTTTGGCAGGCTCCACCAATAGCCAGTTTTAGACAAACTATGAGGACAAATCATAAGGGTTTGACCCTTGGTTCTGTTCTCTGTGAACTGACACATAAGTTATTTCTCAACCTCTCTGAATGCTATGCCCTCCACATCTATCCTCCCTCCCTCCCTACTATTTTCTAGTGCTTTGTTTTCAGTGTGATTCTGCATATCCCTGCCTCCCTCCCTTTCTCCTCTCCTCCCTTTCTCTCTCTCCATCAATCCCTGAAACTCATGTAAAATCCGGCAAAACCTCAAGAGTTAAGCAGTGATGGTCAGCAATTACCACTGTCAGCTTGTTTCATGTCTTCATGAAACAAGTCATCAAGACAAGAAGCAAGCTATCAAAGCCAACACCAGCCAATAATCAATGTGCACACACCCAAGTGCTCTACTATGCCCTTGCAGACTCCTCACAGAACATTCTGGAGCTGAGAGCCAGGCTTGCCTGAGACACAGTGCTGCAGAGTTTCCACCACAGGACTCCTCACCAGACCCCTGGCACAGAGGCCAGACATGTCGAAGCCCAGACTCCACCAAGAGGGTAAGGATCCACACAAATCTGTGCTACACTCATCTCTGGTTAATTAACATTTGGCAAGAAGAGGTTGTTCAGAATATATGTCATTTTAAAATGCACTAATGAATTAGACAACAGCAAATGGCACTGCCCAAGAAGAGCTGAGTGACATTTCCCTTCCCCTTTTTATCACTGTAGTGTTCTCTATTTGTTCTGTTTCAAAGAATGGATAATCAGAAAACACAAGAAATATGCCTCTTTTCATAATGCCCACAAACTGGGCAGTGACTTGGAAATTCCCAAAATGGAATCTCCATTTTTGCCAAGAAGGAAGATTTTCTAAAACATTCTATGTGGAAACCAAGAGCTGGACCAGACACAATCTGATCATTACAAGTGGGCCTCCCTCTCCTTCCTGAGGTCACCCCTAGCAGGCACTCTGCTGCAGAAGCCAGCGTGCACACACGTCCGTGATACACATAGCAGTGTGCGCTCAGCTCAGCTGGAGATGCACGAGTACCGTGTAAATGGTCAAAATGTTCAAGTCTCACAATAAATAATGGCACTTGTATTACAGCTATCGTTATAAAAATCTGTAACACTTCAAGAGACCATTATGGGGCTATTAAAAAGATTTTGCATTCAGTTTTCAAGATGGCTTAGGCAGAATGCCACCACTACAGTAATTACTTTATTTATTACTATGTAAACGGACCTTAATGCTTCATTAAAAAAAGAGAAAGATGATGGCGCACCTGTGCAATAACCAAGCAAAATGTGGCGGCAAAGGCAGTGGTCTTGCAACTTGTTGCCTGCAAACAAATACTGATCATCCTGGATAAAAAGTAAGTCTCAGAGTGGCCTGGGACAGGCAGCTGGGCTGTCAGAGGAATTCAAAACCTAGCAAGGTTAAGAAACAGCAAGACAAATTGTGGTTGAACCTCAGGCAACCAGTGCAGACAACTTTCAATAGCAGATTGCAGGCACTTGTAACTTTTAGACTTGAACAAAATATGTACTCAGTGAATGAAGAATGTCTTAAAATATTCAACTGTATCTAACATATTGCCCCAGATTCCTACAAAACGAAAAACAAAAGTCTTCTTTTATTTAGCACAGAAATGGTTAATAAATCTTCTGACATATATGCATAGCAACAATTTCCAGGTCCCTACTTGTGTTGGCAATTTTGCAAGGACATGAAGCTATTTCTACAGTACCTTGCTGCAATAATACACATGTTCATCAAACAGACATGGTGGGGGTGTTCTCCTGTGATGCAGGGAAAGGGACTTAACTCAACAGACAAAGTCAGAGGTCTTTGGCATTTATATCCCGAGATACTGAAAAGTGGGAAAATACACAAATAATTCCAAAGATATAAGCATACATGGGCTTCACCTAATGCTGCAGCCCTTTCTAGGGCATCCCAGCACCACTTTATATAAATAGACCATGAAACTAAGGCACAAGCACCTGCACTGCTGTGCCGATGATAACACCCTTCAATTTGGGCCAAGCTGGTTAGCATTCTGCCCCACGTTTTCCAGCTGTGAAGTGAGGAAATACCACCTTTCCCGTGTGTGTACACACCTACAAGCATATAATGGATGCTATTAACAAAGATTATTCCACTGATACAATGTATTATTCTCTATACTGAGTGATGAGGGGCAGTGCTGAAAATAAGGGTAAAAATAGAGTTCTTTCTGTAAGAGAAACAGGCTGTATAATGCTGCCTTTATACTCAATTGTCCTACGCTTCAATTAAGGGCAATTCTACCCCATGGATGGCACATCACTTTCAGCGCTGCTTCCAAAGGCAGGTGTAGGTATGTATACCTTTTTTCTGTCTCCATTCCAACAGGGAAGATGATGGTCTGAGGAAGGACTTGATCCTGTTGCCTCCTTCCAAGTTCTCTCTCTGGAGTAACAAGGACCACAATCTAAAGAGCCCTCAGGGGGCCTTCTGAGCCCAAGTGTCACCAATATCTCCAAAAAGAGGGCAGCCATAGTTCTTCAGGGTCAGTGAAGTGGAGTTATGTGAAGGGAAAGTGGCTTTGGACCCTGGTCATGAATCCAAAGAGAGTGTCTTCAGTGAAAGGTAAAACTGTTCAAGTCTCATGGTCAACAACACTGGGAACAAAGCAATCGAGCAGCAGGTACCTGTTTCCGGACTTGTCATCTACCACCTGCTAGAGCCCATGACTTCCACAATTTGATGAGGGCCGTAGACAGGACCCACTGAGGACAAGCAAGAGCCTAGAGGGAAGGTAACCAAGCTGAACTGCCACAGGCTCCACCAACTGAGCAAGAATTAATCTAACAGAGAGAACTTGAAAGGAAAAGTAGTGAGAACATATGTGGAGGCACAAATGAAGAAGCACAAACACTTTCTGAAACTAAAAAAGTCATTGTAAAAATTTAGAATTGCTCTAGATCTAATGGCCCGGAGGATTAAGGACAGGAAACGTGAGCATCAAAGATACCTACTGGGAACCTGGAATTCGTAAGTGAAAAGGTTGCTTGGAAGAATTGTAGGAACGGCAAAAACCAGAAGAGATTGGGTAGATGACTGTGCATCTTTTTTTTTCTTTTTGGTGGTATTGGGGTTTGAACTCAGGGACTCCTGCTTTCTAAGCAGGTACTCTACTGCTTGATCCACTCCACCAGCTCCAACAACTAACTGCACATCCTGGTGGGAGAAACAATGAGTTGATGTTAGTATCAATTTTAGGAGAAAAGTATAGATCTACTTTGACTGTTAGGTTGGGAAAGCACACACCTTTCAAATTAGCAAAGGCATTTTCTAGTCAACATGGGAATTGAGGAAAACAAAATATGTGGTGACCAAGGAGTAAACTGAAAACAATAAAGCAAAATTTATTCATTATCAGTCAACATGGACAAGTAGAATTTCCCAACTGAAGGACAAAACTGTCACACTGAGTTTACAAAAGAAAGAAAAAAGGCCCAACTCCATTTAAAATAAACATGAGACCTCTCCAAAAGGAAGTGACAAAAAAAAAAAAAGGTTTAAAAATGACACACCAAGGAAAGGCAAACAAAAAGAAAATAAAGGTGGCTATTTTAAAATCAAACAAAGAAGAACTCAAGGCCACGTGTATTAAACTGGACCAAGACGGATGCTACACGTGGTACGTGATCAGAGGCACATCTTCACGCATCAAGCAAAACACCAGGTGAATCCATCTAGACAAAGCTTAGAAACATGAAAGTGAAATTATTATAAAAGATATTTTAACATACCTCTCAATGTGACAGCTAAAAACAAACACAGATTTGGAAGATCTTAGTATAAATACAATAGTAAGTCTGATTTCCTAAATACAAAAAGAGAAACCTCTATATGTTACAAAAGATTTTACAAAAGGCGTAATTTAAAAATTAACCATGTACTTGAATTCAAGGAAACCTTATCTCCCCTCAGAGAGAGATTTCAGAGCTATATTTATAGATCATAACAAAACATAGAAAAATAAGCTAAAGAAAAAACTGAGGGACAGATTTTAAATAACCTCTGAATCACCATGTATGCCAAAGACTTTATAATAATACTATACATAACTCTGTGGAGTAATCTTAAATTTTAGATAAATGATTTCCCCATAAGTAGAAAATACTCAAATTCAGGGAAGAAACATGCAAGAGCAAAACAGAACAACACTAAAATATTCTGAAGCATCTTTTTCTTGAAGTGATTTTGGGGTAAGGGTAGAAGGATATGAAGTTCAGGGGTTTTTTTTTTTCCCCTAATTTATTTCACTTTAGTATTTAAAAACTAGATATTTCCTACATTATGTAAGTTCGTCTGAGTGTAGAAAAAGGTAAAATGCTTAAGTTACTTAAAAAGTATAACCCTAACATCAATACCTGATAGAGTGCAAGAGGAAAACTATAGACTCATCTCAAGGCTGCAGTTTGAAAAAATTAAATATCAGTAAATCAAATTTAGCAACATATCCTAATACTGCACCATAACAAATTAGAGTTTATTCGAGGAATGCAAAGATGATTCACTATGGGAAATCTAATAAATATAACTTATTCCACCACAAAATGAAGGCAAAAACACTCACAATTACATCATGCCAAAAAGACATTTAAGAATGAGCCAGGCATGGTGGTACATACCTGTAATCCCAGCACTTGGGAGGCTTAGGCAGGAGTATCACGAGTTTGAGACTAGCTTGGGCTACAGAGTAAGATCCTGTCTCAAAAAAAGAAAACATCAGCCTCTTCCAGTAAAAATTAAAATATGAATGCACATACATATATTAAATGTGATAAAAATTATACTTACCAAAACTTAACAAGAATATTCATTGCTCAAACATAAACATTGATATTTAAACCAGAAATAACACAGTAGTACCCTTTTCTACAAAAAACAAAAGTACCAGTAAATGAACAAGGATGCATAGGTGCATATATATCAGTGAGTTTACTGTAATCTTGTTTTAGCAGCAAAGGAGAAAAGATAAGGGAAAAGGGGGGAAAATAATATAACTGTCCATCAATACAAGACAGCTGACTGAATTATGAATCCTGCACACTGTGAATTACTATAATTTTCACTTGCACTTCAATATCTGCAATGGACCTAAAGTGATATGCATACACTAAGAAAAATAAAAATGCTGTAAAACACTATATATAATCAGTTTTTAAATTAATGGCATGATCTCATTTAAAAAAAAAACAAAACGTAAAACTACATATGTGTATATTTTTATTTTCCCAGAGAAATAGAAACTAAAGAGGAGATTAAGTTATCCACTTGTATTTCTTTTTCTTTTTCAAGTGCTGGAGATCAAACCCAGAATCTCATGTATGCCAGGCAAGCACCCTACCACTGAACCACATATACCCTGCTCACTTGAATCACTTTTTTATTGATTTTATTTTGTTTGTTAAAAAAATTTTTAAAGAGACCTCATGTGTGTATATGCATATATGCATATGCTCTGATAATAAAAAGTATCTTCCAGGCATACAAAATGTAGAGAAATCCTGTCTATTATTATTTTGGGGGGAAGGAAGGTGGAGAATACATCACAACCTCCAGCCTCACATCAACTTAGGTTTGAATCCTGACTCCTGGTAGCAGGTCCTTTAGCCTCCAGAAGCCTCTGTACCCTCATCTGTGAAATAGGGTTAAATGCTTACTTCTTACCCTCAAGCCCAGTCATTACCAGTGTCTATTTATTATTAGCTCATTCCTCTCAAAAAGGAAGACAGAAAGAAGGAATTAAACCTTCCTCCCTGTGGGTTGCCAAGAGCTGCCGGTGGGTACCTAAATCCTCAATTTGTGCTACTTCCAAATATGGCAGGAGTTTTGTGGGGATTCCTTTCCAATGTTACATATAGCTGCTGCCAGCCTCAGCCAGTCAAAGGTAAGCTGAACACACTGGTGGTCCTCAGATGTCTCCCAGGAGCTTGTCATGACCACACCACCAACCTTCAACTTCTCAACTGGTATTTAAGAAGCAGCAACTTTTCTCAAATACTCAGTGGCAGACTGCTGGCAGGGACCAAGGATTTCCCAGAGATTACTTAAGACTCTTTTGGAGAATGAGAAACGGACAAAGGAGCACTAATAGAGCTCTCTACTTCCAAATCTTCAGCTTTCCTCAGGACAGGAATGTAGTACAAAAACATCAGGGGGACCCATAGCCACCGCCCAAGCTATTTGAATTATTTAAGGGTCATTAATTAAAAGTAGAAAGGAAAAAGAAAAAAAAAGGCAATGTGGAAACCTGGTCACCTCCTAGTCCTGACACTGATCCAATCCCACTAAAGATATTATTAGTTAAAAACAAAATATAAAGAAGAGAAAGTACCGAGAGAAATTTATTTATAAATATATTTAAGTTTTCTGAAAAAAATAAAGCTAGGCTCCCCTGAGAAATGAGGGGCTTAGGAGGATGACAGGAGCAAACACTGTGCCCAAGGAGGAAGGGCACAGAAATGTCTTGCAACTAACATCCTTGTAACAGGTCAACAGCAAAAAAGACAAATATCTTGGCTTATTATAGAAAGAACTCACAAGAAAGACAACTCAACTCACATTTGTTTTTTCCGGTACTGGAAATGGAACTCAGGACCTCAGTCTTGCTAGATAGGCACTGTACTTCTTGAGGTACACCCCAGTTGTTCTGTGTATGTATGTGTGCATGGTTTTTTGCTTTTAGTTATTTTTTAGGTAGGGTTTTCAGTTTTTGCCAGGCCAATCCTCCTACCTACACCTCTTGCAGAGTTAGGTCAAAGGCATGCGCCGCCACCACCACCACCACCACCACCACCACCACCACCACACGTGGCTTCTTAATTCAGATGGAGTCTCTCTCACTCTTTTTTTTTTTTTTTCCCACCCTGGCTGGCCTTGAACTTAAATCCTCCAGATCTCTACCTCCCAAGTAGCTGGGAGTACTCTAGAGCCGTTACGCACAGCTCCAACTCACATCTTTTCAGCTCACGTTTTTCTAAGATATTTGCCTCATGATCCAAATAATATCATATCAAGGAAATAAAACCATCTATATGAAACATTAATTCACCATGGTTTGGCTAACAGGGAATTCTTCACCAACTCCCTTCAAATAGATGATAAGTTTAAAACTAAATAAAATGTGTCAAAAGCTTTTTTGTGTAAAATTCAATTATCTTTATAAATAAACCCACATTTTCTAGAGAGCAGGAATTTATATCAAAATTCACCTAATTTTCCAGCCCCAAATACACTCTCATCTCTCCTGAAGAGCTGTTTTCCTACCGTAACAGCTACTGATTGAAATAATACTTTTTTTTTTTTTTTTGGCGGTACTGGGGTTTAAACTCTGGGCCTCACATTTGCTAGGCAGGTGCTCTACTACTTGAACCACTCCCCCAGCCCAAAATAATATATTTTAACTTACACTGAAGTATGGGTCATTTCTAATAACTCAAAGCAAACTTAATTGAGCTATACTTACCTGTTCCCATTAATAAACTCAATTCGATCAAAATTTGTGTCCTGATTTTATGCAAAAATGACCTGGTCTGGGGTCTAGAAAATAGCTGTAAATGCCAACAGTCCAAATGAATGATTGAAAGTCTTATTTGTCATTGACTAATATGAGGAGAGGGCCCCGAAACGGCAAATGCTGAAGCTGGGTCTGAGCAGTTATCTAATTTAGTACCCAAAGAACCAAGACTGTATACAATTTCGTAGGCAGGACCCCTGAAAAGACATAGCCTAGTACTCTAATCCCATTGTAAACGAACACTGGAGTGGACTGACAAAATAGATATCACAAGCAGTAAAGAGTTTACAGAAGTTGTTATGCAGAGTAACACTGACTTGGATAGGGAGGCGAGAGGGTGGAAGAAGTTCGCTCAAACCACAGCATATATCCAAACAATTATGCTATTCACCTTCGCATGTTTTTCTGATTATGAGGAATTTCCCACAAAGCCAATGTGAACAACATGAAAGCACAGATTTTAGAAGCACCAATCAGAGGATAAACCAGGATAGGATGTCTGGAAAGCAATATGCACATATTGCTTAAAAGCCTTAAATTCAGACCTTCCCTCGGAAATCCTATTTCAGGAGTAAAATAAAATAAATAAAATTTGAGGGAAATAATCTGAAATAAAGAAGATTAAGGCCCAACAATGCTGCAACCTTCTTCGTGTACAATTTATCAAAAAACAGGAACCTATGCATATGCCAAGTGCTGGGGAGTGGTTAATTACAGTGTGGAATCTTCACCCCATGTAACTTTACAAAGCCATTAAAAACAGGGCTCATACAGAAACTAAGGCAAGGCACTGAGCAGCTTTAACCTGCTAGGAAACAAATATGTAACTATCGTTACTATAGGTACACAGTTGCATTATATAGGCTCAATTACGTGCTTTATCAAGATAAGAAAATAACCCCCAGGGCTCTCACTGGTAGAATTATAGGGGCCTTTTCTGTGTTTTTTGGGGTTGTTTGTTCCCAAATTCTTAAATTTAGAGATACACTTTTGTTTTTGTATGCCGAGTAGTTTTAGGTGATTTTTAAACAGCACAAAACAAAACTAAGGTATGATAGAGTACCATACACGGTTCAAAGTATTTGGGTTGTGGCCCCAGCTCTGCTCTTAGACAAATCTCAAAACATCTCGTGGCATCAATTTTTGCACCTGGAAGGTGAGAAGTCAGATTAGAGAA